TATAACTGTATTAATTCAACTGTGAACCTAGAAACTTACAGCCACTTGTGAAAGAGATGTACTTTTGCTCTGGAGTGTGTTACTGAATATACTAAAGCTGTAATGAAATATTTCTTCTAATCACACAGTTACTAAAAAATTTTTTTTAAATAGTTCTTAAAAGAAGAAAGAAATGCTTGCCTTAAGATGTGCCCTCTTGGGGCTAGAGAGGTGGCTCCTCTGTTAAAAGCACTGGCTGCACTTTCAGACAACACGCGTTTGATTCCCAGCACACACATAGTGCCTAATGACCATCTATAACTCCAGTTCCAGGGGATCTGATGCCCTCTTCTGACCTCCATGGGCACTGCATGACATGGGTGCACTTACTGCATGCAGACAATACACTCATACACCTAAAATAAAAATAATAAATAAAATATTTTTTAAGATGTACCCTCTAGTGCAATGGCAGCATGAGTGATATGAGGGAACCCAAGCAATTTCTTAGTGGATTTGAGGCCCATTCCACAGGAGGGAACTTATGCCTGGTTCTCTAAACCTGGTCAAGAGCTGGGGGATCTTAGTCCTGTAAGGAAGCCTACTACTATTGTTTTGCTAAATGGTCATGTTATCAAACTATCTTCCTAATACTCATGTTTATACCCATAGATTTGAGCTGTACCCAGCCTTCACCAGAGAAGCTTCTTACTTCGGCAGGTGGCAGTTAATGCAGAAACTCTGAACTGGCCAAAATGCTGAGGGTGATGACAGTGCTCACCCTAGATGGGATGGTTATACCACTATCTTCAAGGCTCATATTGCCAAAGGGGATGGAAAGACTGTAAGAGCTTGAGGATGACACAGTGCATGCATGACTTCACTGAAGCTGTGGTTATCTGACCTGCTCCAAATTGGGCTCCTTAATATTTCATCATGGATGAGAAAGGGGCCCATGAGGCCCCACTCTCCCTGAGAAACCATTCGCTGTTAATCACTGTTTGGGGAGGGGGATAATTTTCTTCTGTGATGCAGCTATTGATAAGCTGCCCATGTTTCAGTAAAACCACCCATGCTTGGGCAAGAAGCTCTAATTAAATTCAGTAGGTCACAGGTAAAAAGAAGACAGGAAAGTAGGAAGGGGACTAGGTAGACAAAAGGTTTCAGTGGGAGGGAGGCGAATAGGGGTGGAAATGACAAACTCATTTTATAAACGCATGGAACTGTCAAATTTAGCATAGTATATATGTTGAAAATATGTATAAAAATAGAAATTTCAAAAAGATCAGATGAAGGAAAATAACCATTACTCTGTTCTCAATAATATTTTTAGTTGAGGCCATGTGACAAAGTAAATTGTCCTCATTTTTACACCATGTGGCAAATAAATAGGAGAGGTGTCTGCTCTGTTGTTAACTTGGGTTTGTACTTTGTTATTAGCTTTAATTTCTGATTCCATTCCAGAAATATTTTTGTCATTGGCTTTGTCTGTCAGATTTAATTTTATTAAAACTTTTATTATAAACCCATAAATCTGCACAACTTGCCACATCTAAATTGCACTATGTTCCAATACCCTGAAACCAAAAATGAATTACAATAATACTATTATCTCTCCAAATACTGGGACTCCCTGAGGCTCCCTTCTCTATTTCCTTGAATACCCAAGAAAGACCAGTGTCAATCCATTTAGTAAGCCTTAGTAATAAATTAGTAATAAATAAGCATTGTGCCTATCTTAGCTCAAAAGAAATCTGTTAGGCTATCTTTTTGTTGTTCATAAAGATGATCTTGCATATCTACCAGGTACAAACACTTAGAGATGGCTGACCATTTAATGTATATGGTTTTCCTCAAAGGGAAATCTGGGAGTCAGTGATACAAGTTCTATTACACATTATGGTTATTCAGTAAAAAGGCTACAGTGTCTTTAAGAAAAATCATTTGGCATCCTTCTATTACTTTTGTGGCAAGACCTGAGAGAATCTGGGAACAGCCGGTGGTAGCCAAGCCAGGGAGTGAATGAGTCAGACTAGGCATGACCTCCCTGAGTTTCTGTTCCCCTGGTTTGTTTGTTTGTTGGGGGTTGTTGTTGTTTTCTTTTGCTTTTTGCTTGTTTGGGTCTTTTGTGATTTTTTTTGGGGGGGCGGTTGTACTGAAGCTCCAAATCCAAGGTAGCACTTTACCCCTGGGCTAAACCCCCAACCACTACCTACACTTTTCAAGAACCTGTTTCCTGCTATAATTTTGACAATGAGGTCAGTCCCAGGACAGATGGAGGAGGCTAGTTTGTTGGAGTTACATGTCGAGGAACCACATAGGCCTCAGAGCCATTCAGAGATTCCTCCCTGAATTCTCTTTCCCACCGGAGCACAAATTATTTTCGCCAGCTTGCTCAAGAAGAAGCTAGATCTAGGTTCCCAAAATGGAGCATACATAATCATAGTCCAAACAGATCCTGCTAGGTGACAAATTTCAGAAACAGCCTCCTGAGAGCCTAAACTGAGTTCTAGCCCCAGTTCGAGGGTTTTAGATGGGAGTGAGTCAACTTCAGGAATGCAGTGAATTCTACATTTAGCCTTAAGTTAGTCACCATCAACAGTGAAGAGGGCTGGGCTCTTGTAATGAAGCTGACCAGTGGAAACAGATCTGAGGAAGAAGCGAGACAGCTTGAATTCAACAGGGAGCCCTGGGACCAGATAAACACTGAACAGATATTGCTTTAAGGCCTGGCTAACCTTGGTACTACTAGAGCCTAACACTGCACAGAAAACTGCATGGAACGCTATTTGGCTTTATTGTACATAGTCTCTTTAAGCTGGAGCTTAAAAACTAAAGACCTAAGGCAGAAAAAGTAAAAGAAATGCGAGATCAAAGAATCTTTTGTTCTGTTTAGTTTTTGGTTACTAAGATAAAATACCCTGACAAAAGCAACTTAAGGGGAAAAAAGTTTATTTTTGGCTTACAGTTCCAGAAGGTATTCAGTCCATCATAACAGAGAAGGCACGGCAGCAGGAGCATGTGGCTAGCCTCTCAGATTGTAGTGGTAGCCAAGAAGCAGAGACAGAAGAGGAAGTGGAACCAGTCTGTAAAAGCTCAAAGCTCCTCCCCAGTGACATACTTCCTCTAGCAGGCTCCACCTCCTAAAAGTTCCCTAACTCCCAAACAGGGCTGCCATCTGAGGACAAAGTGTTCAAACTTAGGAGCCTACTGGGGACATTTCACATTCAAACCACACACCTAGGCTTTAAGTATTTCAAGAAATGTGTAATTTAACAACACAGCTCAGTGGTTTAGTGCTTGTCTAGCATGCACAAGACCCTAGGTTCAATCCCCAGCACCCCTAAAAACAAAAGAACAGAACTTAGATGATCTGACTAGTTTCATGTCAACTAGAACTCCATGGCCACAATGAGCAATCAGTGAATAAACACATTCTTCTACTTAAAAATTTTTAAATAATAATTACTGTTTTACATTAGGAAATTCTTGCTGGTCACTTCATTTAAATTCAAAAGTTATACTGGAGCACATAGTAAGTCTTTCTTATTGTTCCATCATCCAACCACCCAATTCCTCTCCACTCAAAAAGATGGTAGGATAGTTCATTTTTATTGACCAACAAAATGTAAATTATGACTGAGTTGGTTTGGTCCATGAGTAAGGCCAAGAACAAATCCTAGAAGAATGGAAATAGTGTTGAGACCCTTTAAAAGTTTCTTCCATGTTTGTGCAACATGACACCAGCAATGTCAGCTTCAGAGATAACAAACGGTGAGGAAAGCCTATCTGTGCTCAGGAGAAAAGCCCTTTTGGCTGAGTGTGAAGAGAAACTCTCTGGAGTTTCTATGGGATGTCTGAAGGCTTTTGCCACCAACGTCTTCCTGAGTGTTGGAGTTTGGCTTCTCACTAGGCCTGAATTGCTCAGTCAGCTGGATCTAATTATTCTGAGATTACATGTGACAAGAAGGACTTCTCTGGAACAATCCATCATGGATAAAGTACATACTGCTAGTCCATTATTTTTCCTTCTGACGTCCTTTTAGACCTTCCAGTCATTAGGTGGTTTTGCTGAAGAAGAGAAAAAGTCTGGTCTCAGCTTCCAGGAACAAAGAAATGATCTGTCAAATTTTGAGCAAAGACCATCAAATCCCTTTTACAATGGGGGCAGGTAAAGAGAGAAGATGGCATTGTTCATTTAGTAGCTGCCATTCTATAATATTTGTTACAAAAGAATAAAAGCTGTACTTCACTCCTTTGAAGTTACCATTTTCGGTGCTTCTAAATTATTTTTATATTTATCCATGGTTCTTCACGTTTAAAAACAAGTCCTAATATTGTTATTTGATTGTTTTAATTGCCTCTTGGTTTCTTACTATTTAAGGCACACTTTACCCCTACTTTAACCATCATTTTTTTTTAAGTTACAAATGCTTCCTTTATTATATAAAGCCAATATTGCTACTTCTAAGTTCAACTATTTGTTTGTGCATCTCTACATGGTTTGGTGTCATGCCTGTGATGTTAACATATCAAGCCTATTTTACCATCTTTTAAAAAAAATTTATTTTAATTTTACACGTATGAGCATTTTGCCTACATGTATGAAGGTGCATCCACATGCAATGCCCACAGAGACCAGAAGAGGATATCGGATCCCCTGGAACTGGAGTTAGGAACAGTTGTTAGCGGCCAAGTAGGTGCTGAGAACTGAACCCGGGTCCTCTACAAGAGCAGCCAGTGCTCTTAACCACTCAGCCATTTCTCCAGTCTCTATTTCGCCATCTTTCTTCTTTCTTCCTTCACAGATATCTGTGAAAAATCAATATTCAGCCGACATTACAATGAATGCATTACTGACAGCTGAGCCATGTAATAAATTGCAATTACTTTTTGGTCTTGGATAGCTACTTATTTTACTTGGGAAACTCTTCATCAAGTTCGTTAAAATAGTGGCATGGCTTGAGAAGATCTTTATAGACTTATCACTAATGGGTTTCCCAACCCTGCCTAGGTACATAAATCTCCCAGCCCTCATGCCCTTGGCACCCCGGTGTTCATTCATCTTCTGGAAGAATTCTAACCTGTGATATCTTACTGGCCATGTGAAGAGAGACAGCTCTCTGGCTGGGTGTAGTAACAGAAGGTGTCTCACTCCTATGTAAGCTGACTTCCAGCCATGCCTGTTGTTTTCAGCTTCACCTCCTCACAGGCCACTCATTCTGCCAATTCCCAGACCTGCTCTGAGGACAAATTTACTGCTTTCTTGACTTTGCCCACCACGGTAAGGAGCTGGTTTCTGAAATTTGGTTTCCATACTATCACTCTTATTTTATTTGTGCCATTACACGAACCTTATGTACTGTTCTGCAGGCCTTTTAAAACAAGCTTCTGAACCCAGTTTGGCAATTCACCACTCATTCTGCCAATTCCCAGACCTGCTCTGAGGACAAATTTACTGCTTTCTTGACTTTGCCCACCACGGTAAGGAGCTGGTTTCTGAAATTTGGTTTCCATACTATCACTCTTATTTTATTTGTGCCATTACACGAACCTTATGTACTGTTCTGCAGGCCTTTTAAAACAAGCTTCTGAACCCAGTTTGGCAATTTTAAACTGAATTTTTTTTCAGTGTTTCTCTGATCTGAACTATTATTATTTAACTCATCCTAATCAATAATATTAATGAAATTATTATTAGATTTCATGAGCTGTTCTAAAATATATTAGTATATGTTTAAAAAATTCAAAGTCCCATCAATGGTATGGACTCTATTTAGGAGGAGCACAGCCCCGGGACTCTGCAGGGAGGCCCAGGGAAGTTAAATGCTCTTGCTTCAGGTCTAGCAAATGGCAGAACTGGGACATTCTTCAGGTCTTCTGACTATCCTGCCAGGATTTCCCATGAAGACTGCTTGTCTAGGTCTCTAGCTATGTACCTCAGCTGGGTATACTGATCTCAGATCATCCACCCCCACATAGCAGACCTTGCTTTAATCTAAGGGTAGCAATATCCCCCACCACAGCTCCAAACAGGGAGATGCACTGCTGGAAACATTAAGAGGTCAGATTTCCTTCTACTCATCTGGCAAGAATGGCTATTTATTAAGTCAGCAAACTTTCCAGCATGAGTTCCAAAAGTCATTCACTCAAACATGAAGAAGGGCACCAGGGAAGAACGTGTTCTTTTCTTTCCTATGAGTAGTCAATGGGACCTCCAAGTCACAGACCTTACATATTTTTCCCAACAGAAAGTTGTGCTGTTTGTAGATGGCAGAGTCAGTTTGTAAACACAGTTTGTTCCAAATGCATCATTTAAATAGAAATGGCCCGCTGCCAGCATTACTTCAAGCATAGGAATTCTCACATCATTTGTCCTCACCAGCAAATTCCACAGCACAAATTTAGCTGGGTGAGACCAGCCTGATGCTGAAAATATATCTTCTGCTGTTATTTGGCATTGTTTAATAAAAGAGGAACAGATGTTGAACCACAAAAAAGGTTAAATTTTGAAATGACAAATGTCACTATAACTATTTAAAGTCAGAGTAAAAGACGCAGATTTGAAATGATAAAATCATTGAAATAGCACTTTGGGCTTGAATAGGACTTCATTGATGTGATATATTTTGCAATGCATATTTATGTTTGCATGTAATATACCTTTTAATTTATATCAGTCTAACTTCAAATCACATTCTTCTACTTTTCAGTACAAAAATTTAATAAAGAACCCTTTTATTTCTTCATTCATATCTTTGTGCCATTTTTATGTGTTTTATTTAGCATATGCTAATCCTATAATACATTGTGAATACTTTTAAAGAAAGTATTCATACATTCACTGTTGCAGGCAGTATTTAATCACTTGTAGAGATCTTTTCTTATGTTATGTCTTGCCCAAAAGATGGAATTCATACTTCTTAAATTACAGCCTACTTGTGATGAATTCTTTCAATTTCTGTTTGAAACTTAATTTTTCCTTTTATTTTTGAAACATTTTTGCTGAATATAAAAGTCTAGAATGGAGAGCTTTCTCTTCATTACTTTAAAGACAATGCTCCAATATTGTTATGGGTTTGGATATGTAGTATTTTCTAAAAGATTTATGCTTTAAAGGATTGGTCTCCAACTAGTGAATCTAATCATAGAGGAGTCATTGAATCATAAAGACTCTGTCCTCATCAGTGGATTAATCCCTTGATGGAATCATAATTTGATGCCATCATAGGAGGGTGGAAACTAAGCAAATAGGGCCTAGTCGTAAGGATTAGGTCGCTGGGGGTGCACACTGGAAGGATGGGCCCTATTTTCAGTCTCCTCCTCTTGGCTGTCTTTGCTTCCTGGCCACCATAAAGTGAACAGCTTCCTTTCATCATAACATAGTACCTGACTACAGGTCCAGAAACGCAGAACCAAGGAACCATAGACCTGCAACCACAGGCCAAAATGAGTATGTCCTTTAAGTTGTTTTTCTTAGATATTTGTCACAGTGACCAAAAACTGGTTTCTACAATTGTCTTCTGGACTGAACACTTTCTGACAAGAAACGTGCTGCTGAGGGTTGTTAGTCCTGCATATATAGGCTCTCTCTTCCTCCAGCCACTTTCAAGATTGTCTTTTACTATCAGCTTTCAACCATTTGATTATCACTTGGCATGCTCTTCTTAGTGCATCTCTGCTTAGTGTTTATTAATCCCTTTGAATCTGTAAGTAATTAATCTTCATTAAAGTTAGACAATTTAAATTATTTCTTAAAATATTTTGTCCTTGCCAGACGTGGTGGCACACACCTTTAATCCCAGCACTTGGGAGGCAGAGGCAGGCAGATCTCTGTGAGTTCAAGGCCAGCCTGGTCTACATAGTGAGTTCCAGGACAGCTGGGGCTACAGGGAGACCCTGTCTCAAAAAGACAAAAAAAAAAAAAAAATTTGTCCTTTCTTCCATGCCATTTTCCTTTTAAAAATGTTTTATTTATTATTTTTATTTTATATGTATGAGTGTTTTGCCTGCATGTATGTAAGTGCATCATATGCATGCAATG